TTGAAGATTGTTATGCTGAAGACATACATCGTGTGGCCAATAAAACTTTCATATATATTACTAATGTGGTAGAAGAGCAATTATGAAGGAATAATATAAACTTCTAGGTTTGATGCACAAGGTCTTTGACATATAGCAACATTATTAATACCATCGTCATCATATTGGTAACATACAATGACCAGTTAAAATTATGGTCAATTTTGTATCTTATGATGACAATAATACTAATGACGATTTTAAAACTATCGTTATATTCCTTTCAATTATCTTTATATCTCTATGTTGTAGTGTTCACATAAGTAAGCATGATTATTCTAGTATTATGTTGTACTCTTCCATAAACAACTTAAATGCTATTAACATGACAATATTGACTTACTTTAAAAAATATAATATTAAATTAATACTAAAAATAATATTAGATAAAAAAATAAAAGAATAATGTTGACAAAATAACTATTTAACCTTAAGAAAATATTATACATAGTTTGAAAAAGTCATACAAACAAACATGTATACATGTGCAATGTAAATGTCCCAAACACTATTATAGTAAAGGTGAATAAAGTAAACAAAACAATAAAAACTGAAAAATTCAATAAAAATTACAAATTAAATAAAAGAGAACAAACTAGAATTATATTAGCAATAGATGAGTTTGCCTAATTAAAAACTAAACTAAAAATTGAAAAAAGAAAAGAAAACAGAGACGAGAAAAAATGACAACTTGCCCAGAAGTAAGAAATTGTGATGTTGTTCTCATCAAATCTCTATTTATAAAGGACTAAATAAAAGAAATTAAGCATGAAATTAATTACAATAAAATCGAATGTTTCCCAAATTAAAAATTTCAAAATTGGATTGTTGTAACGAGAAAGTTTTGGGATTGATTTTGAGGAAATAATATGTTTATTTTCTATTTTAAGTGATCCAACACTGATTTTCATTTAATTATTGATTCTTGCTAGCCTTTATTAAGCTAAATGAGATTCTCACACTAGTTAATTTGTTTGATTTAAAAATTTTCTTTTGTAATACTGTGCAAGTGGGTTGTATAAGCAAACTTAAGTTCCTGAGAATAGTGAAACTTGATCGCATCAATTTGAGTTTTTATTTTCATCACTTTGGTCAATCTGAAACTACCTTTCTCTTATAAAAGAACAAAAAAATGCACTATGCATGTATATTATTTTTTTATATTAAAACTATGCCAAAGGCAACAAATTAAGAAAAAATATATTATATTATATTTTTAATGAAAACATGTTAAATATATGATTTATGAAGAAAATAATTAGTTTAAAAAATTATCTTAAATCAAAAAATAAAAAGAAAAGTGACAAACATCAACAAATAGGTTGCACAAGCAAACTTTGACTTTTAAGAATTTTGAAGCTTAGTTGCACATGATGCTTGTTATGAATTTGAACCTTTATTTCCCTTAATTTGACCCATTTCAAATTACTTTTATCTTATAAAAAGAGAGACATGCACTATGGATGTATGAATGCATGCTTTGATGCTAAAATTATGTAAAAAATGCAACAAACTAAGTTAAACTGAATTATGCTATGTTTTTTTATGGAAACTTGTTAAATGCATTGGTTTATAAAAAGAATAATTAGCTTAGAAAATGTTTTTAGATAAAAAAAAGAGAGTAAAATGACATACATCACCAAATAATGTTTCTCTTAGCCTTGTTAACATGATCCTAAGATGAGACTAAGATAGAAATCTTCTCATGAGCTAATACATCGAGGTAGCTGCTAAAAGACTTCTTAATGGTCACACTTGTGTGAACGTTAATAATGAGAGGTATCCTCTAGTTGATACCATGTTAATGTGAGAGCAACCTCAACCTAGTAACTTTTCTAGTAGACTTCTTAGACATTTGCTCCAAATCAGGGGGCGATTGATCATCATCAAACATTTTCTTATTAAAAAATGAAATTGTTAGATACAATATAATAATAGTTAGAAGTGTTTAAATAAAAAAATATAATTAGTAGAAGTGTTACGTTGTGTAAATAGTAAAAATTATTTCACTCATTTCTCATACTCATAAGTTATGTGGACATAATTAATCTAGCTTCTATCCATTTATAGATTTTGTAATGCATATACAATTATATAATTCAGTCAACAAAGTAATTTTTCGGGGATCAAACACCCCCAGACTCAACACAAATTGATTAAAAAAAATAACTATTAATGTCAATCATCAAAATGAAAATAATTAATTCATACAATCTTAATCTTATTAAGAAATTCAGAACAATTATGTACTAGAGGAAAAGGAGCTCTCACAGGAGGGAAAGAAGGGAGGGGAAGCGAGTTCTACAAGCACAACACCAATTACAACAGGGAAGAATGAGTTCCACAAAACCAACTTCATAGCACCATGGACCCACCACTGACTCACCATAGACCCACCATGTGAACCCATACACGCGAACTACGCACCCACGGACCACCACACTCCATTAACCATCACCACCAATAGAAAATGCACCACCTGTTGGGTACCAGAAGGGAAAAGAACAACTGCACACAAAACTCAACCAGAAGAAACACACACCCACAACAAACAATTAAAAGTACACAAAATATTTTAACGTGGTTCAACACCTCAAGGCCTACATCCACGAACACACTCAATAATATTTTATTACTCAATGTGCAATTTTTAGGACCAGAAAATTGCAAACCCTAACATACAATTTTTGCACCTAAAAACTATAAACACTCTCTGACTCAACTCACTCTAGCCCCTTATACACAAAGGAAACTCTTATATACAAAGGAAACTCTTTTAAATTGTGGTGTCTAATACTCACCTCAATCCCTTATTTTTATAGTGGTTTCCTTCCACTCCCTTATTCAAACTACCCAACGTGGGACTTTGGAGGATACCCACATACTAGCACAACATATCCTCCCTTCATCCAAAGTCTCACACTAATCCATCATCATGATTTACCATATTTATAGAAGGAATACTCTTCTTTTCCTTCATGTATTTCAAGTCCTCCTTGAATTCAAGACATTTGACTTGAATGTAACCAAACTCTCCATAGTAATGACACTTAACAGTACTCATATCTCTCGTCTGGAATCTTCTACCATGTTAATCACCATACTTCTTCTTCTCTCGCTCGCTTTTAGCTAGCAGTATCTGACTGTCTTCAGAGAATTTATTACCACCCATCATTTGTTGACTTTCCTTCAACGTCCTTATCACCTCATCTAGTAGCAATATACTCTTCCCAACTAGCAATGATTGCACTAGTGTTTTATAAGATTTGGGTAAATAGGCCAACGACAACAATGTCTACTCTTCATCTTTGATAGTCTCCCCTGCATTCATCAGTCTGGATATCAGCTCATTAAACTTATTAATATGATTAAACACATTACCTTCATCTTCCATCTTCAGTGAGTACAGATCCATTTTCATCATCAATCGATTGGTTAACGTCGTTGATGCAAACTTGCTTTCCAACAAATTCCACAACTTCCTTGGAGAGGTTTCTTTCAACACAGTCACTTTGATTTGTGAAGTTATTGCCAATCGAATTGTGCTCACTGCCTTTTTCTAGATTGTACTCCATTCTGAATCTTTCATCTTAATTGACTTTTCTTCTTCTAAGGCACAATTGAGATCCTGCTGGACTAAATAGTCTTGGATTGTGCATTGCCATAAGGAGAAGTCTATTCTCCCATCAAACAAAGGAACATCTAACTTCATCATAGCCATAGCACCGCACTGCTTCTCTTCCTCCCTGACATACTACTTCTCTTCCTCCCTGACATACTACTTCTCTTCCTCCCTAGGACAGAACCTCAATTTTTTTCTGATGTGGAAGATATCCCACAGAGCCCACCACACCAACAGCTCTGATACCACTGTTGGGTACCAGAAGGGAAAAGAACACCTGCACACAAAACTCAACCAACGGAAGCACACACCCACAACAAACAATTAAAAGCACACAAAATATTTTAACGTGGTTCAACATCTCAAGGCCTATATCCACAAACATAACACACAAAATATTTTAACGTGGTTCAACACCTCAAGGCCTACATCCACAAACACACTAAACAATATTTTATTACTCAACGTGTAATTTTTAGGAGCGGAAAATTTCAAATCCTCACATACAATTTTTGTGCGAAAAAACTATAAATCTTCTCTGACTCACAACTCACTCTAGCCCCTTATACACAAAGAAAATTTAAATTGTGGTGTTTAATACTCACTTCAATATCTTATTTTTATAGAGATTTCCTTCCGGTCCCTTATTTAAACTACCTAACGTGGGACTTTGGATGATACCCATGCAGTGACATAACACGACCCTGCTACCATGGGAGATGAGTTGTCACACGGGAGAAAGACTCAACAGCAGGAGAGAGGGAGGGCGTGAGGGGAGGTTGGGAGAGAGGAAGAAAAGTGGGATGAAAGAAGAGTGACTCAGGAGACAAAAGTGGCTAAGCAAAAAGGCGCGGTGTGGCAAAAATAAAGGAGGAAGGAGGAAGGAGGATTTGTGTGACAAAAACGAGGGAGGAGGGTGAACTAAATTAAGGTATAGAAGATAGGATCCTAATAATCGTCATCGTAAACAAATATAATAATGATTATTAAAAATCTATCATAGATAGGTATCATATATGATATACCATGATAATTATTAAATAATAGTCATAATTTGAAAAATATTACCGTGTCACTTTGGACGAAAAATTTAAATGACCACACCGTCATATTACTCTATTTTCCTAGTAAAATAGTATTTAATGTAATTTAATAATTCAAATACATAGTCCTCCGAGTTTCAAATAAGAACCTTTTCACTTGATATCCCCTTGCCTCTAGGGCCTAGCCATCCATTGAACCGAAAAATTTCAACGCTAAACTCCCTACAAATACCTCGTAAGAGCTCCAATTTCATCATTCACACACCAACGAGTATTACATTTGAGAAGAAACTGAAATGGAGTCACACAAAGTTTCATTTTATGTCTTGTGTTTGTTGGTCTTGGCCACTCGGTCTTACGTTGGCCATGCCCAGTGCTCTGTAGCAGACGTCCTCAAGGGCCACAACGACGCAAGGGCAGATTTGGAAGTGGATGTTCCTCTTCCCCATTTGGATTGGAATGATACTTTAGCTGATTACGCACAAAATTATGCTAATCAGCGTAAAAGTGACTGCCAACTTGAGCACTCTCATGGACCTTATGGGGAGAACCTCGCAGTAAGCACGGGTGACATAAATTGTGCCCTTGCAGTGAGATTGTGGGTTGATGAGAAACGATTTTATGATTACAGTACTAATTCCTGTGATGGAGTGTGTGGGCACTATACACAGGTGGTTTGGAGAAACACGCTCCGAGTTGGATGTGCCAAAGTGGCATGCGATGATGGTGGCACATTCATCGGTTGCAACTATGACCCTCCGGGCAACTATATTGGCGAACGACCTTATTAAGTTGTATCGTTTATGTATTGTCTTTCTTCCCTTTCAATGAAGTAATAATAATATAATGAATAAATGATATGAAAATGATCATATAATAAAGTTGAGGACATGTATGGCTTCAATATTTGGTTAAAAACTGAAGTATGTATGATATCAATCATGCTAGTTAAAGCCTGTTGAATATTTAATGGATCATATAAGTTCAATTTTAAAAACTTTAGTTTATGTTTTATGTATTCGAAATTCCTATAAACCTTTGATTGTTTTGAATAAATCATTCTTTAACATTTTAAAGATAAAACTGTGATAAAGTGGATTTTAAGCTCTAAATAAGATAACACTTTAACTATTCTGAATTATCTAACTATTTTATGATAATATAATCGAGGTTGGGATAATCTCTATTCCTATAGTTTGGATGCCCGTCCACGATTGAAGTTGCTGAGTGAGGGCTTTAACATACTATCACAAAAGCCTAATACGCTCAACCTCATGCTACTTGTTTTACAATTAATTTTTTTGAAAAGGATTAGATGTCTTCTTTCTTCTTCTTTTTCTTTTTTTCTTTTTTACTTTTATAATTTCTACATTTTAATTTTACGCTAATAAATATTCACTGAAATTTAGTCTTTCATTAATTAAATGCACGCAATCAGTCATTTATATTAATTAATTGATGATGTGAAATGTAACTAACAAGATATCACATTATTAGTCAACTGTGACATAGTGTGTATGTTAAATAAATATTTGGTTCTATAATCTATGTAATTTTTTTTATCTTTATTATTATATTTGGTTCTTGTCATCAAGATAGTTTTATAGCATTAATCAGTGTGCAGCAAAACAATAAAAGGTTGTGGTGACAACTTTACTATCAATGTTTCAGAAACAAAATTACTTACATATAAATTTTTAGAAACGGTTAAAAATTCTATAAAATTGATTTATAATTGTAATTATTTATATATTATAATATTATTATTTTCTTATTAAGATTTGTCAACATATTTATTCATATAGACTCGTATTAAAGAAGATTTTTTCTTTTGTCATATCTATTTATATTAAAGAAGATTTTTTCAACACACCCTCATATTCAATTTTATAAAATCGATTTAACAATGTAAAAATTATACTAATCTATGCATTATTATGTTAAAATTGGTTTAATAAAAAAATTATACTCATCTATATATTATTATATTATCATATAACTAATTAATCTAAGATTTCTCATCATAAAAATGAATTTAAAGACATTAAAATCGTAATTTGACAGTAAATTAATAAATAATATATTTTAGAATATTTTTTCTGAACTAGAATTATTTACACACATATTTTAAACACGATCATGCCACACAGATCGAAATACATGTTTATTGAGAAAAAAAATATATTTTTATCCAATTTTCATATTAATGCAATTTCACTTTATTATAATTAATTGTAACTCATCTATCTAAAACCCTTTGGCTTTTAATATGCATTCTGAAAGTATACCTCGAGAGCATATATTTCATTGATTGAGAGGCAAAATATATACAAGTGAATACACTCGACCAGTTACATAACATTAGGAGAGAAATAAGCTAAATCTCTAGAAACTAGGCAAGTATCTCTCCTATATTAAGTAGGTATCCCAATTTAAGCTAATTACAATATTTGACAATAATTATAATCATATCGATTCTTGATTGTGTAACACTCCCCCTCAAGCTCAAGAACTAGGAAGGTACATGAGCTTGGAAATTAACTGAGTATGTGAAGCCGAAAGAAGAGCCTTTGTGAAGATATCTGCTAATTGCTGATTTGAGGAGACAAATGTGGTTCAAAGTTTTCCTTCTTGAATTTTATCTCGAACAAAATGACAATCAATTTCAACATGTTTTGTTCTTTCATGAAAGACTGGATTGTTTGCTATATGGAGGGAAGCTTGATTATCACAGGATAAAGTGGCAGGATGTGGTGGAATACCCAATTCATGAAGAAGGGTGTGCAACCATGTGAGCTCACTAACCGCATGTGCCATGGCTCGATACTCTGCTTCGGCAGAGGAGCGAGAAACCGTTGATCGCTTTTGGTGCGCCAGCAGAGGAGACTTGGACCCAAAAATATACAATAACCAGTGGTTGATCTTCTAGAAGTGGGGCAAGAAGCCCAATCCGCATCACAATAGGCGTGCAAGCGTAAAGAAGAATTAGATGAGAGTAGGATACCATGGTCCGGGACGTATTTGATATATCTCACCACTCTAAGTGCTGCCTGCCGATGTGTGTCACGAGGAGAAGACATAAACCGTGACGATGAAGTTAACCGCATAAGTGATATCCGGTCGGGTGACTGTAAGGTATAGCAATCTACCAACCAATCGCCGATATGGAGCAGGGTCGGATAGGACTTCACCATGATCAGCAACCAAAGTGTGATTGTAATCCGAGTGGAGTTGTGACCGGTTTACTAGCAAGAAGACCTGTGTCGTGCAAAATTTCCAATGCATATTTCCGCTGATTAAGAAAAATTCCAGCTTTGGAACGTGCCACTTCAATTCCCAAAAAATATTTCAATGAGCCCAAATCTTTTATGTTGAACTGGCTGCAAAGGTATTTCTTTAAGAGTGAAATAACCAACGCATCATCACCCGTAATGACAATATCATCAACATAAACAAGTAAAATTGTTATATGGGATGCACGGGTAAATAAGAACATGGAGTAATCGGCCCTTGATCGAGTAAAGCCGACCTCAAGCAAAGCACTCGAAAAGGTAGTGAACCAAGTGCGAGGTGCCTGTTTTAAGCCATAAAGTGACTTGTGGAGTCGACAAACGCGACTCTCCCCCGTTTACTGAAACCCAGGAGGAAGTTGCATGTAAACTTCTTCATGTAAATTGCCATGTAAAAAGGCGTTGGAAACATCCATTTGATGAGTTGGCCAATTTTTTGTCGCTGCAAGACTAAGAACAGATCCTCACAGTAGTTAATTTAGTAACAGGAGCAAAAACGTCGGTAAAATCAAATCCTTCTTGTTGTGAGTAACCTTTAGCAACCAAACGCGCTTTATACCTGGTCAATGGAGCCATCGATTTATATTTGATACGATACACCCATTTGCGGCCTATAGTCGTTTTGTCGGGAGGCAAAAACTCTAAAGTCCAGGTATTGTTAGCCTCTAATGCCTTTAGTTCGTCCTCCATAGCCTGTCTCCAATGGGGATCTTTACGGGCAACGAGATATGAGGTGGGTTCAATGTGCTTGATAATAGAATTAATGAAATGGAGATGGTTATTTGAGTAAGGATTTGAGCAAAGAGAGTGTGAGATAGGATATTGCATACCCGGAGACGAGGAAGAAGATTGAGCGGAGGCCATATTGCACACGTAATCAGCAAGGTGCGCTGGAGGCTTTTTGAGACGTTCGGAGTGTCTTGGTGCAAGGGTAGTCACTGTAGGAGTGTCAACCGCATGTGTGGGTTCAAGGGTGGTCACCTGCAGGGAGGGATTCAAGGGTTCAACGGTATGTGTGGGTTCATTATCATTGGGTTCTCGAGAGGAGGGAGTGGAGAAGTGTTTCTAGGAGGTGTGGGGTTGGTTGAATTTAGGGGTTCTTGATCACAAATGGGTAGAGGAAGAGGGTGTCGTTCCATGTGTAAATCATGCAAAGCCTTACTATTCTTGAATGGAAATATTGTTTCATGAAAGATGACATCTCGACTAACTAAAAATTTATGATGATCAATGTCATATAGTTTAAAGGCTTTTTGACCAGCAGGGTACCCCACAAAGATGCAACGTCTAGCTCTAGGTGCGAATTTATTTGGATGATCATGTGAAGTGGATGCATAACACAAACAACCAAATGTACGCAAGTGAGTGAAATCGGGTGGATGGCCATAGAGTTTTTCATAAGGAGTTTGACCGGCTAAAATTTTGGATGGTGTTCGATTTATTAAATAAGTGGCGGTAAGAATGCAATCACCCCAAAAAATTAGTGGAAGATCGGCTTGGAAACGTAAAGCCCGTGCAACATTGAGAAGATGTCGGTGCTTACGCTCGAAGACACCATTTTGTTGTGGGGTACTCGGGCAAGAGAATTGTTGGAGAATCCCGAGTCACAAAGAATTTTCCGAAATGAATTATTTGTAAATTCAAGTGCCATTATCGGAGCGGATTGTTTTTACACATGTCCGAAATTGATTTCGAACATAAGCTAAGAAATGAACTAACAAAGAATAGGCATCCGACTTGTATTTCATGAGATAGGTCCATGTGACACGGGAAAAATCATCAACAATAGTTAAAAAATAATGATGACCATTTTTTGTAGGTGTGGCATACTTTCCCCAAATATCAACATGAATTAATTCAAACAAACCACTCGCTAGTGGGTGTGTGTAAAGGAAAAGGGAGTCTTGTTTGTTTTGACAAATGACGAGACTTCACAATGGTCACAAGAACAGTGAGCTAAACACTTGAGGGCACTTGATGATGGATGACCAAACCTAGCATGCCAAGTGGTGGATGAGGTAGTGATGATGGCGGCAACAAAGGTAGAGACATCAAGGAAGTAGAGTCCACCCTTTTTATGGCCCCGACCAATCTCCTTCTTCGTCAAATGGTCCTGAAATACACAATGATCAGGATAAAAGGAAACAGAACAATTAGTAGTTTGGGTGAGTTTTGGCACGGATAAAAGGTTGAATTTGAATGAGGGTACAAATAAGACATCGGTCAAGATGATATCTCGATGTTATGTGTACATTTCCAAAGCCATGTATAGGAACCGAATGACCATTAGGAACACAAATAGATTTATGAAGAGAAGAAGGAATAGGTGGTTGTTGAAAAGAGGAAGGGGTGAAAGAAACATGATTTGTTGTGCCAGTATCAATAACCCATTCAGTAGGCATACAGAGGGAAGAATAAAGAGCTAGAGACGCACTGTGAGATTGGCCTTAGGTTGGTTTACCTCCCTTAATAGGCGAAGAAGTTGCTGTAACGAATCTGCAGATAAAGGATCTTTCACAAGCATCATTACGTTGGTCGACACGAGTGGATGAAGTAGATGACTCGTCCATGAGTGTTCCCCTTATGGTAGTAGCGATGCCCTGGCGGATATCCGTGAAGCTTATAGCACTTATGCTCCGTATGACCAAGGATGCCACAATGCGCACATTTGGGACGACTGCGAGAAGGTGGTTGTTTGGCCAAAAAAGCATGTGCAGGTTGAGTTTGGAGGGCTGCACGTTCTGAAGTCAGTGGGGGATGTGTATGGGCCTTTTGAGCCTCATCTTGAAGAAGGGAATAGGCATGAGCAACATCGGGGAGGTATGTAGTAAGAAGTAACTGGCTTCGTGGTTGACTGAAGCTGTCATTGAGTCCCATCAAAAACTGCATGAGGCGTCGTTTGTTTTGTTGGGAGATATAAGTCTCTTTGGCTCCACAAGTACAACCTTGGCAAGTGCACGTTGGTGGAGGATCAATAAGGGATCACTCATCCCAAAGGGAGCGAAGCTGATTGAAGTAGTGTGCAATTGAAGAATCTTGTTGTTGAAGAGTAGCAATATTTTGCTCAAGCTCATATATGCGAGGGCCAGTGTTGGAGGAGAAGCGTGCCTTGAGATCTGTCCAAACAGCAGCGGCAGATTCTGCATAAAGCACAGTATGGGCCAGAGAGCGATCAATGGAGTTGAGGATCCATGACATGACCATATTATTGACACGAGACCAACGGTGATAATCTTCATGAGTGGATGCAGGGGACGTTAAAGAGCCATCAACAAAGCAAAATTTGTTTTTGCCCTTTAAAGCCATTGTCATGGCAAGAGACCATGGATTGTAATTGTTGAGACCTGTAAGGACGTCACTCACAAGAGTTTGTCCAGGATTATCAGAAGAGTGAAGATAATAAGGGCTCTCCAAATTAAGGTTGCTTGGAGGTAGACATGCCTGCAGAGGTAAAAAAATCGAGTTGATTATAGAGATGCTTCGATACCATGAAAGTATACCTCGAGAGCATATATTTCATTGATTGAGAGGCAAAATATATACAAGTGAATACACTGACCGTTACATAACATTAGGGGAGAAATAAGCTAAATCTCTAGAAACTAGGCAAGTATCTCTCCTATATTAAGTAGGTATCCCAATTTAAGCTAATTACAATATTTGACAATAATTACAATCATATCAGATTCTTGATTGTGTAACACATTCTTTATTTTACCTGCTTTATTAAGCTTGTTTTCAAATAGACTTGAACATACCTATATTTAAAAATTAAATATTAATGTCATATGTAAGTTGACGCAAAATATGTCTCCAAGTTTACTCCAATTCATATTTATTTAGTTGTCTTTTAAATAATTTTTTTGTAGAATTTGAGTTAACTTTAATTTAAAACATTGAAATTTTGCTAATAAAATTCATATCTTGATTTGGTTATTGCAAGTAATGTGAACTCAAAAACATTGTTTTTCGAAACTTCCAAGAAAATTTCCATTGTCAACAAATCGTCACATGTAAGGAGAAATGAGTACGACGCTCATGACGTGAACATAAGTTTGACACAAATAATCGTAACAAGTGATGACGATTGAGAGTGAAATAATATATTATTAATAAATAATAAAATAATAAAATTTTAGATATATACTTAAAAATATTAAATAATCATTAAATTTAAGGGGAACAAAATCATAAATTATGAAAGTTACTAAAGAGAGACTGAGAGGATAAAATTATAAATATATAAGTAAATATAATAAGTGTTAATTATGTTTAGGAGTTAAAATCATAAATTACACTGAAGTTACAAAACTTTGACCACTCAGCTCCCAAGAAGATCTAACACTAATCGTAATCTCATATATATACCTGGGACGGTCATGCACATGCTTAATATAAGTAATTTATATGAATTATTTATCACTTTAAATGCACATGCTTAATATAAGTAATTTATATGAATTATTTATCACTTTAAAAAATATAATATATAAATATATTGTATGATATTAATTTTAAGTAATTTATTATTAATTTTATTTTAATAATTATAAAAAATCATTTTCTTTTTTATTTTATTTTATTTTATTTTATTTTTAACTGATTGATGAAAGAACTATAAAAAATTAATATAATGTATATGTCACGAAAGATTGATAAAAAGTAAAGAGTAGCTTTATTCTTTCGATTCTCTCACGTCCATGCACATGCACGTTCTATCTTTTTAATCAATAATATTTAGTTTCCCTCCTCAACCAACCATTTTTATCCATGAAATGTAGAGATGGAGAATGCTGCTATTTTTAAAGTCATGGCTATTTTTCACCATGCATCACGTCCCTTATAACACAATATATATATAGAATAGAGTTGGATGGAACTGGTTCAATATCAAAACAATTAAGCAGCAATGAAGTCCTCAAGTCTGGCGTTCATCCTAACCATTGTGTCAACGTGCAGCATTTTCTTAGCAGCAAGAAGCTCCCCGGAAGATTTCCTTGAAGTGCACAACGAAGCTCGCGCAGCGGTTGGTGTAAAACCATTGAAATGGAACGAAACCCTGGTAGCCTATGCTCAGAAATATGCGGACTCGAAGAAACAGACGTGCGAAATGGAGCATTCAATGGGGCCTTACGGGGAGAACCTGGCGGAGGGTTATGAGGAATTGAAGGGCTCGGACGCAGCGAAAATGTGGCTGTCGGAGAAATCCTTTTATGACCCGGAGACGAAACAGTGTGTTAAAGACGAGTGCTTGCATTATACTCAGATGGTTTGGAACACCACAGAGAGTATTGGATGTGCTCGGACCAAGTGTGACAATGGCTGGATGTTTGTCATCTGCAGTTATTACCCTCCAGGCAATTACGTAGGCTCTGCACCTTACTAACTTTCTTTTATTCACCTTAAACATTCTTTTAAGAATGTCGGGTGAAGTTACATTTGTTGTTTGTTTCTAGAGTATCTAATATTGTATTATGACTTGTAGAATTCTAATTAATCAATGGGAACAGTAACAACACTTGATGTATGAATTGTGCATGTCAACCTAAATTTCAACATAACTTGTCTGAAGATCACATTACTCTCTGGTTAAAAACAAGAAAATCCAACTCATCTTCAAGTCAACGATTCCTTCATTTTTTTAAAATTAATTATGATACAAATAATTATATTACATGAACATTCTTAAACTATTAGTTAATAAAGTTTACAGGTAGAATTTTCTAAAAAAATCAATGAAATGATTACAAAATAAAAATAATGAAGATATAATAGTCATTACCATTTCTGAGATAAGTGTTTCAACCATTAATGGATTTAACAAGCTTCTAAAAACATTCAAAATCCTAAATATTAAATGTACATTCAAAGGCATTGAAACATGGTGAATAACACATCTCTCACGTTGTAGATAGAAAACCATAAACAATTTATTTCACCAAATTAAAATATCAATTCCATCATCATTTACAACAAACTCATTAAAGTACATTTTTAGTTTATTTTATTTATGTATAAAATCTTTTTCTCTAAAATACTTAAAAGCATCTATTCTTAAGAAATATTTAAGAATTTCAATAAAAGTTGATGTTTCATATTGAGAAACAAACTCTATTGCATCAACATGTGGTTGCTCATATCTAGTTGTTACTCATCATGAATTAATTTGTACCAATAAAACAATATTCTTTTCAAACTTTCTTCTACAAACTTAATTAATTCAACAACTTTATATGATAAATGTTTATACATTTCTTGAAAATTTCAAATCACAGGCTTAAATCTACAAGAGGGTAATTAAAAAATATTATCAAAATAAAAAAATATTGATGTTATCAATATTATACCAATACTTTATGATACTTCAATATCTTGGGCAACAAGTTAGAATGAAGATAATATTCATATTTATAGATTCCTTCTCAAGTATATAATGGATAGTAGCTAATGGGTGAAATAGAATGTGTACACTCACAGTTACGTAGAATAAAACCTTTGTGACTATATAAAAAATCTCGAAACTTAAAAAACATATAACTAAAGTTCTCATTGTCAAATTTTATGAGTGCAACTTGAAATTTTATCATTGCATCTAATATTATATATGTATAATTATACATTGTAAGAATATCACAAACAAACATGCTAAGTGGTAAAAATTGATCTAATTATGCTTTTAATTATTATTTAATCACTTAAATTATGTTGATTCTAATATATTTTTCTTTTAATGTAGGATGAATTTACAGAATACCTTAGTACAAGAACAATGATCATAATTCTCAAGTTAATTGAAAATAAATTAAAAAAAGGAAGAAGATTATCAGTCTAAGAGTCACCTGAACGAGACGAACGCTCGTTTTTGTAAAAATACGTTAAATCTCTTAGGAATTCAACCGCTCAAGCGAACAATTCTCGTTTGAGTGAAAATCTTCATTTTTTGCTTAAGCGAACATTCCGTTTGAGAGAATAATGATGCGAAATTTTTCTATAAAAAGATAAAATGCGTTTTGAGAAAAGGGAGTTGAAGGTTTTGAGAAGAGAGGCGCAACAGTTGGTCCAGTTTTTCTTTCAATCTTCAATTCTTTTTCATTTGGATCATTGTAATGATCATCATGATTGACTAACTTCATTGTCTTAGGATTAAGTGTACTTCCTTTGAACTCTTTTGTATCTTGGTGATATTTTGAGATATTAATCTATGTTCTTGATGTTGTTATTCTTATCCTTTGTGTCGGTTAATGTTTTAATCCTGAATGTTCATATATATTGAAAAATATATCTTGAAACCCTTGATTAAGTTAAGAATATTTGATACATTGATTGCTAGGAATGATAATGGATGTTGTTTCTGGTGAAAATTTGATTGATTATTCGATTTATAGGGAGTTGAGTCCTAATCAAATCTTGACCATGTAGATTCTTTTTACTTAGGCTAGCAACTAGTTTTCAATCAAAAGTGCATGAGAATCGAGAATCCTAAAATCTCGAAAAGATGCAAACCACATGACCTAGAGTGCAGATCGATGATCGAAAGTACTATTTTTGATATTTTTTATTAAGTAACGCGAAGTAAAGAAAGCAGTAAAAATGTTGAATCGAAAAGCGGTGCAGAATATGAAATTACAGAGAATTGAAAATTGCGGAAACCTCGAAATTGCATTAATTGTAAATGACAGAATTAAAATTGCATGAAAGTAAATAGCAGGAAATCGGAATTGTAGAAACGGTAAATGGCAAGATATCGAAAGTATAGAAACTTAAATTGCATTAAAGGTAAATGACAAGTAATTGAAAGTACAGAAACTTAAATTGCATCAAAGGAAAATTACATGAACATAAATTACCAGGAAAAGTAAAGAAAGCGATAAAGGCAGTCAATGAAAATGGAAATCCAGATCGCCAGAAACTTCATGATTTCATCGTTCTTCGGTAGACTTTTCACTAACGCTTCTGTTGTCTCTGCCAATTTCCCCCCCTTTTTTCCTTCATCTTTCGCTCTATTTATAGAGCATCCTTCAAGTAATATCTTAGGAGCGAGTTAACGAAAACTGCTACCACGTCCCGCGTGCACGTCTTTTGCGCTTTTACTTCTAGCTCTACGGTTAAAAACCGCATTCACGTTCTCATGCATGAGGTAACTGCTCCCTTGACCTTCGACTTCTGCCACCGCTTACCATGTTCTATGTGCACGTCAACTATTCCTCTCTTTATAACTTAACCAAAATTCCGATAGTCATGTAGGTTAGCCTTTCCCTCGATTTCGATTCCAAATCTCGAGAATTTTGAATTGCTTCTGTTTTCACTTTGTTTCTTAACATTACTTTTGACTCTAATTTCTCGATTCTCTTCAACAAATAGACATTAAATATTCCTCCTTCGATTTTCGGTTCTAATTCTCGATTTATGTGTCCATACTGTTACATGGTCATCGAATATTTTCCAACTATATTTTCACTTCATCAGTTTTTAACCAATCATATGATCTTCGATTTTTCTTTCCTTCGTTTTTCGATTCTTTTAACAATTTCCTACTAACAAAATGTCCCCTTGGAAGAATGTAGATATTTGTATTTATATTCTTTCAACATGATTCCCGCCTTCACATGTCTGGAGGCCCACAATAACTTAGGGTTTTAGGGTTTCTGGGGTTTTAAGGGTTTATAGGATTTTAGGGCTTTTTCTACTTTATGTCACCTATCACGTCAGTTCTGTTGCCACACTGCACACGCCACATTAATTGCCCTTCGCCTCCGTCGCTTCCAATACTCCAGTTAGTTTCCTTTAAACGCTTGTTAACCTTTTTACCCTTGTTTTTTCACTACGAACTTCATTCACTCCTCCTTTGCACCTTCATCTTTTACCTTGCACCTTCGTCTTCTACCTTGCACCTTCGTCTTCTACCTTTCGTCCTCATCTGCTCTTCCGACTATTGAAATGGCAACCTCATCCAAATCGTCTGACTTTTCCACCCCACCACTTCCCTCGTTGGCCGCTAACCTACTGGAGATCAATAACCAGAAATTTGCTCCAGTTCCTTTGATGGAGGAAGCTTCTTAGAAGATCGCTGAGACGCAGGTACTCATTCCCTATACTGCTGATAATGTTAATTACGCTTTTGGAGGTCCTATCCGCTATTGTGGCGGATCATTTTCCTCTTCCCTTAGCCTCTCAGAGAGTAAAGCTCTTCTTCACAAGTCCGAGGTGCGAATCGAATTTCTAAGCATTGTATCTAAAGTATACCAAACGGGCCCTCCCTACAAGAAACCTTTGTATATTAGGTGGTTTGATAGAGTAAAAACCAAGTTTGGGAACCATTGGAGAGATGTGAGGATCTTCGATTTCTTGCATCTGTCTCGATGTGATTTATCTTTTCTAGATATGGCTATGTTCTTATCAGCTGTCCACCTTTGGAATAAGGACCTACATGCTCTGGAACTCCCTTGTGGACCTCTTTCACCCACCCTCTTTGAAATTGCTGCTATTACCGGATTGAAGCCCATAGGGGAAAAATATTTTAAGGGTGCTTTTCCTTCAGATACTTCTTTAAGGTCCAAGATCGATTGGGAATCGAAGGCGTATGGACATTTTATCGTAAAGCATTTTGTCGATGACCAATCAATAGTTGTAATTGATGAGGAGCATATAGCTTTCTTGGTGTATTGACTATGTACTCATGTTTTCTGCCCCCGATCCATCCAAATTTCATTCCACCTTTACAACCTTGCCTACCTCCTTCACACTGGCCAGCCTAGAATTTGTTTAGCCAAACTTTTGTTAGCCCATGTCTATACTGCTTTTGATGAGGCCGTCGAGATTTTGAATACCCCCAGGGCCTCGGGAAATTTTTCAGGTCCCATTTGGTTTATCCAATTATGGCTAAACTCGATTTTTGAAAGTATACTCCCCCCAACCTCCACAATCCCCCCAAGTTTAAATTTAGAGGGTGCTCGATTATCTTCTCGACATCCCCGCCATAAATCCGATGAGACCACCTATCGTAATTATCCCAGATTTTTGTTAACTCAATTTCGATTTGAGTCGCATTTGGCCCCTTTTTCTGTGCATCTTGGAAAAATCAGTGACCAACTTCGAGGACCAACATGGTTTAAATCGAAATTTCCTGCTCTTACCCCGGGGCTGCAGTCAGAGTTGGTCGAAGTATGAAGCAATTATTTGACTCAAGATGTGTTGGTATCGGGTTTCTAATCAAAGGATCTTCAGCTCATCATCTATTATCCTCAGCTTTTCTCGCGGCAGTTTGGTTTAAGTCAGGCCTTACCATTTTTTTCCCTCAATACCCCCTCAAGGTCCAAACTAAGTGAATCGACTGTTGGACGGGAGGTCGCCAAATTGCTGCCGAAAAACCCGATGCAATTTTACCCT